GGAAGAGCGAATGAGCTACTGAGCTTGAATAGAATCCGGCTCAGGAGAGTGACAGGACTCATAACGGGACACTGTCACTTTAGGAAACATCTACATAAGCTAAAGCTTGTAGACAGTCCATTCTGCCGAGGATGTGAATCAGCGGATGAAACTTCTCTGCATATCCTGGGCGAGTGCCCGGGATTTGCACGTAGCAGAATGACGCTCCTTGGGAGAACCTATTTGGAACCCAAGGAATTGAGAGAAGTGTCAGCAAGGAAGCTTTTGGACTTTGCAAAAAGGAAAAATCTACTTGCTGAATAGGACTAGTAGTGGGACGCACAATAGGCCTAATTAGGCCGCAGTGCTATTGGACTTTTTAAAGGACCAACCACTAGATGAAGATGAAGATGGGTCATGTCATCTTTGTTTTAGAAAATTTTATAGAAAACAAGTTTCAAGTGCAAAATTCTTTTAACTTCATATTTATTAAATAAACAGTTTTATTTAAGACACGAATCTTGAATTATTAGACTTTCCAATTCTAAAGGATTTCACTATACACTGACTTATCATTTAAAATTCACTAACTACATCGTGGTTTTGTCCCTCTTCGGTACTTTGTTCTTGTTTATTAATGCCAAACAAGATAATATTTTTAGCTTTTTGCATTTCTTCTATTTTACTAATATTTTTTCTAATTGCCATTTTGCTTAATTTTTACATTTGCATTTTGGTTTTACAATTCATCAATTTTTCGGTTAAATTAGTTAAGAGCTTTAATTAGTGAAATTATCAGTTGAATCATTTTAGTTATACCTATTTAAATTTAATTGCTTATAGTAACAGCGCTATAACTAAGAAATGTAACCCTTTTCAACATCTCAGGATCGGTAACCTTTAATTTAATTTTTTATTTCACAAATTTAATTTTTCTATCACATGAAAGTTCTCTATGTAGGTCTAGGAATCAACTTCTATATCAAAATATATTCACTTTAATTTTCACCGACCCCCCCTCCACTGTTTACCCTGTACCTCAGATGGTAAGCAGGAAGTTATATCAATAAGTAAAGTTTGACTTATACAATTAAGCACACCCTATATAACATTAACTGTCAAATTTATATATTCAACTCGGCTTTTCAACATAAGAAAACAGTCCTGTGAAGGTATGTTCAAAACCGTTTTGTTCTTGGGATACCGTGTTGAAATTTGAACAAAATTTCATATTTTCTAAAACATTTGATGAAGATGAAGACAATTTACATAGAGTGTTAAAATTGAGGCTAATGACTTATCTAAGTAAAGTAAGACCTCCCGTAAATACAGGGGGTGATAGTACGGCAAAAAATAAAAATTGTTTGTCTTATGAACTATATGTCTATCTCAAAAACCATAGATTTTTCAAAACATTAAATTTATTGTAGTTACCATTTATACATTTTTGAGACAGGTTGATATGCACAGTAAATAGTATAAGTGTGTTCAACTAATCTGTTTCTTAAACACGTTTTAATTTTTTTAGTAAACAAAACTACTTAGGTAAAAGAAACATTTGTTTGTGTAGAAATAATAAATACCCAATGTTCAAGAAACATTCTGTATAAAATCGGTTTGGACATTTAAAACCTTGGTAAATTATCTACAAAATCTTCCTCAGGCATTCCTTTGTAATTTGAAATTTAAAAATGTTATTAAGTGTAATCCATTTCTCTACAGCTATCTCAATAATTGTCAAGAGTAACAAAATATTTTAAATAAAATTTTACACTACAACACCCTGTATCTTTTAAAGGAGGCATTTTTTATATAGATAAGTAGGGTTAAATCGTCATATTCTGTTACCAAAAATATGCAGTTAACGAAATGACCAACTTTTTTGTTATACCCTATAAAATCAGTGGTGAAGATACAAGTATTCACTATCACTAACAATTCGAGAAATTCGGATATTTTGAAAATTCGATAACCACTTTTAATTCTTAGAAACCTTGTTGGTTTTTAAAAGAGAAGGAAAATAACGCAGCAGTGAGGAATTTGTTTTCAGTTATTTTTTTAGAACTCTTTAGGTCAATTTATATTTGTTTTTTGTTTGTTTAAAATGCGTTTTGTCAGTTGCATTACCAATTAGTTCACTATTGTTTAAATTTCAAGTTTTTAAACAAATTTTTTAATCATCGAACAAAAATTGGAAATTTTAACTAAAACATTTGTAGGTATGGTATATAAGTCACATACAAAATAAATATTATTCATGTTTATTGTATGTATCTACATTCATACATACATAATAGTCATTGCTGTAGATTTTGCATTTTACTAGAAAGTTCAAAAGATGCAATATTTTCACATCAATAATTTTTCTACAAATCAAAATGCAAAATTTCTAGGCCAATGATTATTTTGGCATTTTAATTACCACACTACACAAAATATTGTAGCTATGAAAAAAATTCTACTCTTTTTTGGAAACAAGTAGCTCTAGAGCAATTTTAAAATAATTGAAGTGTTCCATAACAGTAATGAAAACCAAAAAAAACTCGAAAATGTTTTCTTAAAAACATACCAGGAATTAAAAGCAGCCATTGAATTTCCTAAATATTGTGTGATCGAATTTTTAGGATTTTTAGGGATAGTAACTCTACATCTTCCCCAATGGTGATGATCTATATCAGGGGTCGGATATTTTTGAAAATTTTTAATGAGGTCCACAGAAAAAACTCGTATTCCTTACTAATTTTTTGTTTTAATTTGCACTCACCTACTAACCTACTAACTATTAAAGAATGATAAGGGTGGCACTCAAACGTATTGTTATCTATAGAAAAATATTTTAAATAATTTGAGTAATTATACTTTCAAAAAATTTTTGGCGTTCGTTTTACCATTCACGGCCCGGATCTGGACCGCGATCTGCCAGTTGCCGACTGCTGATCTATATATATGCTGTCAGCGAATTTTTACCTTTAATTAGGTAAATCCTTGGCCCATTTGTTAACACTCCATGTCCCACATCAGCAGATATTTTAGAAAATTTGATTTTTTCAAATTTCAAAATTCTGTATCTCTAAAATGAAGCATAGTCACACATTTTACAGGACTTTTTTTCCTTATTAGTCTTGAAACACTCATACAGGTATATCATATACCTGTAATATACTACAACGTTGCGAATGTGGATCGAATGACCCTACATTCCAATACGAAAAAAGTAGCTATGGAAAATATAATATATTGCCAAATTTGATACCATTAAAGCTGACTGCATTCTAAATCTCTTTCCACAAGTATTACAAGCATGAGGTCTGTCATCTCCATGGCGAGATCGATGCTGTTCTTGGGCTGCAACTGTTGGAAACCATCTGTAGCACACATCACAACAAAACCGTAATTTCATTCGATGAACTCTAACATGCGCTAAGAAAGTACTATATTTTGAATATACTTTGGAGCAATCTGCACAAAGATAACGACTTGTAGAATTATGGGTTGTTGAATAATGTTCTTTAAGATCATCTGATAAAGAAAAAGTTACTTGGCAGTCACAACAAGTCCAGGGATATGTATCCCATCCAAGTAACTCATTTTTTGGTATTATGCTTCCATCATCATTCAAGTCAAATTCCGTATCATCTAAATCAATAGATTCAAATAATTTAATATTTTTCTTTTTCGGATATTTTCGTATCTAAAATTATATGTATATAAAATTAAATCAAGAAAATTTAATATTATTACCTTATTTTTTGTTCTTATAGTTTTACGTTTATGTTCTGATTTCTCCGAAGTATCGGATAAGTCATTATCTGCATCAGCTATATTAAAATCACATTTTATAAGAGGTTTCGAGTCAAAATAACTAAGTTCTGGTACTTCATTTGGTGTACTTAATAAGTGAGTATCTAATACTGTCTGCGGCTGAACTGGTTCTGCTGGAAATAAAATGGCACTGCTGTTATTTACTAAATCTGTTAATAGAGATTGTGCTTTTTGGATGCGATCATTGAACTCCCATGTTTTTCCTACCATATCATAACAAATCTGGCATACTGATGTAGGCAAATTATCTTCGACTGAAACTTTAATTTGAAATAACTGAAATATTTTTAAACGAAATTCCAAATCATGCAAAATAGGTAATTGATCTGTAGAACATTCTGCACAAAGTCGACACCTTGTCTCCATAACATTACAAAAATTTAATATCAAAAGAAATGTAAGGAAATTATACTATAAAATAGATTATTTACTTATAGATGATTTATTTTGAAAATTAGAAAATGAAAATACATAATAATGACAGCTTTCATTTACTTGTCAAAAATGTCAAAATGATTACAGATTACAGGGACTACAGGGTTACCATAGATTTAATAGTATACATTTAAGTCCTGTTCGTTATGTCTGCTTGACGTACTCCAAAGTCCAACTCAATCGGAGTATTTTATCAGCGTTCGTTGAAGCCATTTATATGTATAAACTACATTACTACTAGTATTACACATATGGTTGAAGCCGAGCACAAAACCTATGTTGTTCGTTATGCACTTATGCAGGAGTACTTCACACTGATCAATAAGATCATTACTCTGGTTACTCTGTCATTTATGCTGGAGCAAAGGGAGTAGAACACCTATAGCAATCAGCAGATTTTATTTTTATTGGTTGATATATAACCGCCATTATTCCATGGCTAGAAATTGGCCTCAATGATTTGGGATCGAGGGGGATTATCCCTCTTTATCCTGCCTCATCTCGTGTAGGCCTGGACAGCCTTCGTAGGTGGGCCCCATCCGTCCTCTACCCCGACCGCAAACGCGGCCGGTGTAGGTGCTTTGTGGGACCTCCTTTTGTCCTGGCTGGGCCCCGCCGGCTAGGGCCCTTTCTTCTGGCGCTCTTCTTGCTTCTCCGGCTCGTCTGTGTAAACCCCGGGGGTGATGTCATGTTTATGGTTGGGTACGGTAGTGCGACTATGCAGCCTGGTATGCGCTTTGCTAAGATGGCCTTTAGGCTTGCGCGGGGAGGGGTAAGGAGGGTATGGTGGGGGTGTATGTGTGTGTGTGGGTCGTTGTCTTCGTTTCTTGATCCTGGCGGTCTCTGAAACAGAAAAGGTTAGCGGGCAGAGGGTGGGGATGTCGTTGGGGTGGTCACCCAGGGTCAAAAAGTTGGTGTCTGGGTCTTTTGTGTTTGTCGGTCACGTCGGGTATGTCGTCAACGGCTTGCCTGAGGAGGGGAATGTCATGTCTAGCGGCTACGTCAAACCGTATCTCCGCGTTTTGTCTTATTGTCTGTGTAGCGTTTGTGTATTGTAAGTCTCGTAATATGTCAGAGTTTCTTACGTACAAGGGCGCGTCGGTAGCCGTGCGGAGGGCTATGTCTTCCACAGCCTGTAATGACTTTAAGAGGCTTTTTGCCGCGTGACCCCACAACGTGGAGGCGTAGGTTAGCTGCGGTTGAAGTACCACCTTGATAAGCGTTCGCTTATTCCTTAAACTGAGGGTGTTTCCACCTTTGAGTAAGGGA